TCCGAAAATAGCTGTGGAAAAAGTGATTATAGGATTTATTTGAGCAGGTCTGTCTATGAAGGATGACCCATTGAGAAGGTAACATTTTGCAAACGACTGAAGGAAGGGTGGTCCATCTGCCTGTCATTCATTCGCTTACCCTCCCCCATCCATCCACCAGTCCATCTGTCCATCCATCTGTCCCACCACCCGTCTGTCTGTTCATGCATCCATCTAACTGATCCATCAACCCACCTGTCATGACTCATCCATCCATCCATCCATCCATCCATCCATCCATCCATCTGTCCATCCAACCATCCATCCACTCATTCATCTATCCATCCATTTCTCTGTCCATCCATCCACCCATCCATCCACCCGTCCATCTGTCTATCCATCCATCCATCCATCCATCCACCAGTCCATCTGTCCATCCATCTGTCCCACCACCCATCTATCTGTTTATCCATCCATCTAACTGATCCATCTACTCACCCGTCATGACTCATCCATCCATCCATCCACTCATTCATCTATCCGTCCATTTCTCTGTCCATCAATCCATCTATTTATCCCTCTACCTGCTCATCCCTCTATCTGTCCATCCATCCATCCATCCATCCATCCATCCATCCATCCATCATCCACTCATTCATCTATCCGTCCATTTCTCTGTCCATCCATCCATCCATCCATCCATCCATCCATCCATCCATCCATCCACCTGCCCACTTTTCCACTAACCCTTCAGTCCATCTACCCTCCCATCACCATGCATCAGTCCATCCGTCTGTCCTTTCCTCAGTCCACCCACCCCCCTCTCCATGCACCCATTCGTCTCTCCGGCCATCCACTCAGCATTCACTGCCTTCTCTTGGACACCTGGACTCACAGGAATGAATGAGTCAGTCTCAGCCCTCAGGGTGCCCACATGGCTGGTGAAAACGGCTCTTTCACAGGCGCTGGGCAGCTGTGGGGGGAGCAGGGGAGGGGCCGGGCAAGGCACCGTGTATAGCGTGTCAGGTTCTCATGTGGTTTCTCCCTTGGTCTGTGTATCTCACAGACAAAATCACCATCCCCCCCCCCCGCCCCGGGGCAAGGCCTGGCCTTCCGCTCATCTGGTCTCCCCCACACCGTAGCCAAGCAAGGCTGGGAACTCAGTAGGCGCCCAATAAATACTGGCTGGGCGACTGAGTCATCCCTGCTTCTCCCTCCTCCATTCATCCCGTTTTGCTGTTGGCTCTGCCACCTGGCCTCCCTGCCGGTCTGTGGCCTGAACCTGCTCACCTGCCCCGCTCCTGGCTGAGGCCCAGTCTGGTTCTGGCTCCAAGACCGGCCCCAGGGGCAGCTTCAGAGGGCCCGCCTGTTGGCTGGAGTGCCAAGCCAGCAGCACTAGCCAAGTGGACAAGGACCCTGGCCAGGAAACTGCCTGCCATGGCCTCAGAGGACTGGGGACAGACCACCTAGTCCGGGCTTTCTGCCCTCCATTCTCCAAATGGCCAGGGACACCCACCTGAGTCTCCAGCAAGGAGGGGCCTGATAGCTCACCAGATGCCCCAGGAGCAGGCCCTGCATGAACCTCGAGGGGACACAGCAGCCTGCTGACGGGGCAGGGTCAGCTGAGGCCATGTGCAGTGGGCGTGGGCGGAGGGGAGTGGG